AGAGAGAAGTGAGGGCCAAAGAACTCCAGTTAAGACGCGCCCAAAAAGCTCGCGATCGCGCAGTCGCAACTTCAAAAAAAGCTCGCGATAAGCAAAATATACCTAAACGAAAAGCTTCATCGTCTCAAAAGTCAAAAAAGTCAAAGGGTGGTGGTGATGCAGGCAGCCAAAGTGGTGGTGCGTCTGCATCGTCGGCTGCGCAGCCCACCACCAAAACAACGATGCGCGGCCGCAACATCAAACTGCCAAAGAAATTTGAGTAGATAGGATTGTTTTTTTTAACTATTTAGACTACTCCACCAAAAAATCTCGTGATAATAGCTTTTGTATGGTGCTCTACAGCCTCATTTTTGATAGGCGGACATTTTAGTGGTGGTGTTGCATTGTCTGACCCGTTGCACGCATTGACCACCCACACTAACGCTAGCCACGCCACGTTAGACCCTACCATTTGCCCAGACGTCACCTCTGCCTTGCAGTATCACTTCTCTGCATTTCCATTGATATCACAGCTGTATATCGCGTGGCTGAGCGATCGTTTTCTTATCCGATTCCTTTGCTTGACCCTTGGAGGCGAGTAGGCTGTGAAAACGCCTCGGCGCTTGATCTCCGCGGTATGCAGCAAGGCGGCACAGTACATGTCTTCTTACATCATGCTCCAATGAATTTCCCAGATATGAAACTCAGGGCGTCACCATACGGCAAGACGCGCTCAGCTCTTCTCCTTTGAGGCTTTCACTAGTATTGAACGCACGTCAAGTTGACATTGCACCAATGGTGTTGTCGCCATGACCCTGATTCCCGAAACATAGCTTTATTTGTGGTGGTGTCGTCACTAACGGCCTCATACAAACAAACCATGTTTCTCACAGTAACTCATCTCTTTTGATTTTCTTTCAACGAAGCTATATCGATTTTTTGACCCAAAACAAGTGAGAGAGTCGGAGAAGGAGCACATAATCTTGCTGATGCGAAAATCGTGGATGCTTGCTTAATATGAGGCTTGCTCTGATGGCTCAAGCGACGTTTCCTTATGAATGGACGAGCTGTGAATCGGAATATACTCTGGAAAGACGAATTGCATGTCCACAACCAGACTTCCAATACCAACCCCGATCTGTCTCACCAGCTACACAGTATAGTGCTTGGACGGCAGAGGAGACCTTGAGAAAACAGGCAGGAATATCCTGGTCTGCTTACCTATATACCACTAAATGCCCCAAAATTCTGGCATGCTGACTCGTGGTAGCAACAAGTCCAAGGAGCAACGGGAAACTTCATCGTTTTGCAAACGAGGGGAGAGGATATGGGAAGGTGATTTCCTCTATCAAACGCTGGAATGCTTTGTAGGTGTGACAACCGCTGTCAAAAAGGATTTGGAGCCTATTATGGATGCTTTATAGAAGACAGATACCATGGAGGTTGTTGTGCACCGAAAGTACGACTACGATTCATGAAGAACTTCATCACATTGGGTATGCTTTGCTCAATACAAAAGCCTTTGCAAACATGCTGAAGTGTGTACTCAGAGATCTGAGCCATTGGTTTCAGGTATGGCATGGAGGCTGTCGGCGGACATTACGTGGAATGGGCCGCGCCCTTTTATGGATGCTATCAAGAGCGATGGGCAAACATGACGAAGAATATCAAGGCGGGAAAGAAGAAAGTGATGCTAAACTTCATGAAAAAGATAGCTATTCGCTGCCATCTTTGAGAGGGATAATTGATGAGCGAAGGGCACTTCGACTATTATTTTAATATGAAACCTAAAGTTTGTATCCGCTGCTTTGCTCCTACCATGTTACCCACATGATTGGTAAGTATCTCACATAGTGCAATCAAAGTATCTATGTTGTGAATCATGATGGCCGTCACATTTCTGCTCACATGGCGCATCGAACAACGAAGTTATCCTCGATCAAAAGATGGGCCCAACGCAAGAAACAAGCTGCTCTGGATGTGTGAGTTTACTGGAAGAGCGTGCGCTAACAGACACTTATGTGAGCTCTCACTCGACAGGCACGTGATCTCTAGTTTGCGCTCTCACCACTTGCAACGCCACGAAATCACACAACACCGCCTGATCTCTACCCAACTACATCATCAAGACACAGAAATTTCTCAAAATACCCTTGTGTGGCGTCATCAAGAGATGCCGAAACAATGGAGGGGTGTTCCAAGCACGCTTCAATGGATGTGAGTCTTGAGCCGCCATTGTTGGTAAATGCAGCTGTCCTCTGACAATGATAAACACAGCAGACCATTCAGGAGAACAAGACAGAATCATTACCATTGGGCGAAAAAATCCCCTTAGAAACACCGGGTCCGTCGTATCCTGCAACTACCACCTATTACGGCGCCTGCAAATACATATCCAATATCCAGCCAATGCACAACAACAATGGTGCTGCCATCGAACACGTCCATCAATACCGCCTTGGAAAATTGTCACCAATACGACGCGCCCCGCCGTGCCCATCAGAGCAGGAAGGCAAGCCAGCAGAAGCCATCCCCGGATACGTCACCGAAGCCGTTCACAGTTTCGCTCTAGACCAAGTTAAGGAGCTACAGTTGGAGCTTTCAGCAGCAAAAGCAGAAATTGAGGTTATTCAAAAGAGTTATCGCGACTTAGCTGCCTGGACATATAACGAGCGGGTCCGCCTAATGGGTGCATTGGCAGCTCTGCGAGGCGTGCAGCAAGCAAATACAGAGAAGGGTGAGGTGGCATTTCATGAGGTAGAAAAAGACACAGAGAATGAACAGTGTTTGTCGTTGAATGCGCAAATCGATGAACTTATTGAGGAGGAAAAGTGTCGTCTCTCCCGCTCGTAGCTTCTTGATATCGTATTGAATTCGATGATAACTTGCCCATATAGATGGTGTGACGGTGTTTCTGCGCCACCATTGTGGTTGTTCGCACGATTATGGCGGTGAGAGGTGATGCATTTTTGGGCTAACGAGGTGGTGAAGGCTAATAGCCACGAACCAAGTGGCACGCTCCGCCCATAAAGCGGCCACTTGCATGAAATCTCTATCAACCCGCGTTTCTTTATCAACCACACTACACGTTTGTCAAAGGCCATATTAATATCTTTCCAAATCACAGGCCACCATGAATCAAGTCTGGTTTGCTGCAGCCTGGGGCAAACTCTTGCACGCCTTTGGAGGTGGCGACACGGCAAATCAGGACAGCAACGCCAATCCAGATGCCTCTACACCCAGCACAGACGACCAAGAGGAGGCTAAAGAACCTAGATATGGCGAGCAAACTCCTAGGGATGAGACTGAACATACGCCTGAGGCTCCTGAAAGGGACAACGAAGACGCCAAATCTGAGACATCAGAGTCCACCTATGATGGCCACGAACAGTCGGAAGCGCCTGAAGATCCAGAAAATCTCTCGTTTGGTGGATCTGAAGACGAATCTGAGACTGGTGACAACGAGGACAGCCCACCTCTCGGCCATTCCAGAAATGCCGATCGCGTCACTAGAGGATTCCACAATTTTCTCAGCACAGCATACACTGCCATTACAGTCAAGATCAAAGCTGTGGTCCAGCGAGCCCGAGACTATTTGCTTTTCGCTATCGACCAACTGAAGGAGCAAGACATTGTCGAAACTGCAAAGGCTATCGGTAAATGGATCCGGCAGAATCCATGGAAGACTGCTCTGATAGTCCTGCCTCTACTTGCTGTAGTATGCACTGCAATTGCTCTCTCAGCGACAGGATTTGGGGCAACTGGCGTTGCAGCAGGTAAATTGAGCTGTCCTTTCCTAGCCATTTACTTCGAGGTTCTGACCTGTCTTAGGAAGCGCAGCGGCAATCATTCAATCCGGAATCGGCAACGTCGTGGCACACTCTTTGTTCGCAGCTTGTACTAGTGCGATGATGGGTGGATATGGCGCTCCTCTGATCTTCGGCGGCGTTTGGGTTGTTGCTACAGCCATTACCATGGGTTTCGAGGTGGCATGGAGACGTTGGAATGGTCGGAATAACCGTCAGCTGGTGCGCCTGCCGACAGAATTGATTGGGACTGTGACCGAGAGGTTGGACAAGGCCTTCGAGAAGATCATCTTCAACTCGATGGTGGTAACAGCATTCGCCGTGTATCTTGTGAAAAGCTGGTGGCGCAACCGCGGAAGCTCGGAGCGTGATTAGTCTCCTCGCGGCCCCATATGTATCAGAAAGATGGCTGCATTCAGATGACAGGACAGCAATCGCGGCGAGTAAAACTCAGTAGAAGAATCTATTTAGTCCCTCGATGCAATTTTTGATTGGAAATCTGGCTGTATACCAAAATCATACATGTGTGTTCTATAGGGCTCAAATCGAGCCTAATGAGACACATGGCACGCCTGTGAACACAATCGAGAAATACCACCAAACACAACATCATTGGCCAAGTGCCAGAACCGCATCTTCATTTTCTCTAAACTTCAGTGCCATCCCTCGCAGTTTTTTCTTTCTGGGGAACGTTCTCGAAGGTGTGAACGGTGATATGTGAACGGCATTCTGGTCATAACACATGACTAAGCCGCACGCTCGCTTGCTACTTTTTGAATTAAGTACTCCGCGCCGCCTCTCTCTCTCTCTCTTTTCTCACTACCGATTCGCCCGTCATCGGGAAAGTCGGCACACCTTTAATTCACACACCCAAAACCAGATTACAAGTAACCAACAGACATTTTGTCACCAGAGCACGACCCGGGTTGTGCACACGACGCAGACTTATCAGCATGTCCAAGAAGCCCATCAGCATGGCCAGCCGGCCTATCAGCACGCCCACTCCAGACAATGGTGCACTCGAACCAGATCGCAACACTTCCTCACAAGAACTCAACCCCCAGATTGAGTCTGCCCCAGAAGTTGAGTGTGGGTGCTTCTTCACGAGCACTGGCGAGCCCCAGTGGAACCCCGTATGCCTAGAGGCTATGGAAAGGGCGAGCAAGAAGAGAACTATACCACCAGATGAACAAGTTCGTGGGGACATCCCACGAGACTGACGGAGTATCTTCGTTCACGACACTGACGGAGTATCTTCGTTTTCTGAACGCGACTTGTTTGACAAGTTGCAGTGTGTTTTGTGACTGACGAATGAACCAGTTACTACCAACATGGGCTAGTATCTCGCCTTTGTCTCATGTAAATATCTTGAAATCAACAAAAAATTCAACCAATCTCGTCCATGTGTGAATTGTCTACGATGTGTGACCGTGAACATGCAACTGACATATAGGTTGACATCCGATCAATGTTCTACGTGGTCCATGCAGTATAGCGTACAATTTCAGGCTTGTTTTGTTGCAATTTCCTATCCTTGAGATCCCAAATCAGCCTTCACCATTGATCCGACGGTTGCGCGCCGCGTGACGTCAGTTGTGAGACATTCACCGAGTATTCTGTAAAGGCTAGCTCGGTCCGTGCACTTTGGCGACTCGCACAATATGAAGAGCCACGACCCGGCCGCCGCAAAACCTTTACAACAACAAACTCACCTTTGTAACCTTAATATGCGGCCCAAGGGAACGCGTTCATTCGGACCCGGCAACACCTCGCCACTCCTGCCACATGAGGACATGGACACTCTGGGTCTGCGCGGCACGACAAGTTACGCCCCGCCCCCCAAAGCGAGCCTCAGGGCCTACTTTCGAGCTGAGGCGACGAGAGGTCCATCAGGCCATGAACGCCGTCGAAGCCGCTCCCCTCCACAGATCACATCTGATCGGTATCGTTCCCGGTCTCCCATGCTAGACGACGATGACTTCGCCATTCCCGGTTACTCCGTCGACGAAGATACCATCATGATGGACAGCCCAGTCAATCAGCGTAAGTAAATTCTAGCCATTGTGATGAACAGACTAACTATTTGAAAGGTCCATCAGTCAATCAACGCAAGGAGACTACCAGCAGAGACCGTGGGCGAGCACCATCTCGCTGGGTTGAGACACGCAAACCAACTTTAGCCACACCGCCAACAGCTTACGACCTTCGTCGATATGCCGAACATGTCTACAAAACGCACTACAAGCAGTTCATCAACGGCGCAACCGGCAAGGTCTCTCCCTCCAAGTACGGAGCAGGGCAGCATCAAGATTTTGGCCTCTGCTTCACCACTTTCTTGACGCGTTACCCCTGCGAGATCGGGTTGGGCTGTCCATGGCGTCACCACCCACTGTCCAAGGTCGAACGAAGATGGATGGTCGAGAACAACGAGGAGCATGGAAAAAAGTTCCTGGCGCATGTGAATCGTTGCTGGCCGTCGCCTGACGTTCCTCTCCCAGGAGCCAACATGCATGACCATGGCGAGAACTAAACGGCGGCTAATGTGGTTGAGAGTTGGAGCGCCGGGAACGTGACTAGGCAGTGACTGGGTGATGGACTTTTGGGATACTTTTCTGTATGCTACCACATCATCGATGTAATCGAATGATACAGTGTCTGCAAAATTTCCAAGTCTTTTCCAAGTGTTTTTTACTTCCAGCTAATCATACATGCCCATGTCATATCCACTCGGGTGGCGCCTTGTCTTGGACCACGACGGGCTCCGGGTGTGCGACGCTTGACTCGTACAGCTCAAAGATGGTGCTAAGATCCGTTCTTGTGATGCGGATATCGAGCTCGCGTGTTTCTGGTTGCTGGTCAGGGCAGTGTAGCTCTGGGAAAATATGTCCCTCCATCTCTGCAAAAGGTAGGCCATCCTTTTCAAACACGGCGACGCCTTCAGTCTCGACTTTCGGTTGATCCGCGCACTCGACTGCTGGTATAGCCTCAATCGCCGGCTCCTTGACTCTCTTTGCTCTCCGGCGGCAAAAGCAGAGCGCGGCAGACAATAAAATTAACAGCATCAAGATACTCCCCACGGCGATCCCGGCTATTGCCCCCCTTCCAAGCCCCCTCGGCCTTACTTTTACGTCTGGACTCGATATCGGCACAATCTGCTGCTTGTCGTCGGGGGCCGGAAACAGCGCCTGGTGGACTGAAAAGTTGCTGCGTTCATAGTCAATCCTGACGTACGCTTCCTGGAAGAACGTGCGGCCGAGGGTATACTGTGACTCGTTGTATGCGCGGCGGATGGGAAAGTAGTTTGTTGGGGTGTCGTAGATGGGGTACGAGGCTTGCTGGTCAAAGGCACTATAAGGGAGGACGATGTTCACGGTCCCCGAGAGGTCAGAGGGAGTCTGGCCGAGTGCAAAGGTCACTGTCGGGTTGGTTTCTAGGAGCTTTGCATGGGTGGCGGGGTCGACGAGGTACAGGTCTGTACTGTTGTCGTAGGTCAGATTGAACGCCAGGGCGAATTGATCGCATACAGATACCGGCAGCCAGATCTGGGGCTCCGCAAAGTCGATGAGGGTGTAGGGGGCCTTGTCGGGTAGCAGGCTGACGATGCTGTCCGACATGTTCTGCGTGACGATTCTCTGGATGCTGAGGCTGGGCTTGCGGCTGTCGTTGGCGTCAAAGGGAAAGGTGACATTGTTTGGGACAAAGCGGGACTGGTCGTAGCCGCCGTAGGTCAGGCTTCCGTATACATTTGGCTTTTCTGCAATTGTCAGCTTCGCCTAGACGAGCAGATCGAACATACTGTAGTATGCGCCGGCAGTGTAGCCGTAGCTTAGACTCGGAATGTAGCCCTCGTCTTTCAGCGTCTTGATCAGGCTGCGCTGGGGGTTTTCGAAATCGGAAAAGTTACTAGGCTTGACGTCCATGCCTAGCCATCCGACCCACAGCCGTGGATTTATGACTGCGCCAATGGTCTGGTTCGTCAGGGTGGGCCCCCCAGAGTTTGCAATCATCAGGCCGAGCGTGTCGAGACCGTAGAGACCAGACGCGTTGTATCCCAGCTCTTCGCGCGTGGCTGTCTGGTATATGCCAATCTCATGCCATGTACTGGAGAGATTGGCCTGGAAGCCATTGTTTGTTCTGCCCTGGTAAATCTCTGCTCCACGCGAAAAGGCGCAGTCTTGCTGGGTCGAGTTAGCCTTGGACGTCTTCAAGCGCCTCTACTGACCTTGCTTATAGTCTGGTTATCTTTGCAGGCCCCGGCTAGAGGGAGAAACGTCTCGCTGGTTACAGTAGACGGCAGGACGCGAAAGCTCTGCTCGGGCGTGCCTACGCGCACAACAAACGTCGACCATTTCCCGTCGTTTCCATCAAAATACTGCGACGGGGCAAACGATACGGGGGCGGGGCTCGCAACTGGCGACATTCTGAACCGATGTAGCTTGCAAACAGCAGGAATTCATTAGATATATCACACGCCGGCTCGGTGTTGCCGATTCATCTTACAGTCTAAGCCTACATGACTTGACTTTGCCGATATCGAGCGTGCATTGCCGATAGTTTGATAGAACAGTGGCGATTTATTCGCGCCCCACCCAATACGAGGGTGATTGATTCAGTTGGCGTGGTCATCTTGGAATGGCTGACTTTGATATTCGCCCCAGTTGTTCGGGGTAGGTCATGATGGTGGCCGCTTAATCATCGACTGTACAAGTCCGATGGGGGCCAAAAGGCACGCCAAGAGATAAACGGCCCACCACGAGCGTGCAATGGATTCTAGAACGAGTTTTCTTCGGACCTGCGTCAAGTCTATTCGGGGCTCATGTTGCATACCTCGCCTCAGTGGCTTCTTCTTGTCGCTAGATGGAGAAAGGCGCGGTCCAGGCCAACTGCGAGAGGATGAACATCACGGACTTCGTGTGATGGCGTTGTAGAGGAGTTCCATTGCTGCGACGATTATAAAAGCTGGTATCAGTATGGATAATAGAACAATCAGTTCATATTCATACATTCAATTCTACATTTCTATTCAACGAGTTCAATGGCGAAAACATCCTGTGTACATGTAGTTCTGCTGGGTCTCCTGGTATCAGGGGCTCTGGCAGCACCGACTGGACATGTCGTTGCGAGATTGGCTCCTATTTGCGAGGATCCCAGCGTGTCGTGGGAGCAAAAAGCAGATGCATATTGTGCAGTTTGTCTGATGGATAACGTACCACCGTAAGTCAAATCTCCCAAATACCAACGTTGCTCATTAGTTGTAGGGAGATTGTAGACAAGTATTGTGGGCCACTCATGAGCCCTTCTGTTGCCTACAAACAAGTCCAGTCCGTCTGGCGACGCGGTCAGGATGACAAAATTGAAGACTCGGACGACAAACCACCCAAACCAAAGCACGAGACACACAGGGCTGAGGACAGACTGTATAAGGTTGTGGTTGACAGACGGTCCAAGTCTGAAGAAGCTGGATCAATCAGTGATGAGAGCAGGATCTGGCCTCGTCCACGTCCTCTCATCAAAGATCCGATTTTCCACTTGCCGATTGTTTCCCCAGTCACTCACGATGAGATGCACATCGCCATCAAGCGTGGTGTAGAAACTGCTCCAACATCGCTCAACACTGGAAGCGATGATTCTGCTTTGGTAAATTCTAGACCTGAGAGTCTTGCCGATGGTCGACTATCAAGCCCAGACTTCCATGAGACTACACTCTGGGCCAAATATCACCCCAAAGCAGAGGGGTTATACCGTCGCCAGACACCAGGACCTGCACATGTCAATTCTGACGCTGGAAAGACTGGCAACGGATATTCATTCGAGACAGAAATGATTGAAGCGCAGTCTGATTCACAAAAGACTGGGACAGTCTACGGAAAGCATGTCGAGCACAAACCAGCTTCAGTAATCTACCGTCGTCAGTGGCCTGATTCGTTGCAAAACCCACCGCTGGATTCTGCAAATCTCAATGAACAGCAAAAGAAACACTTCCAGGATCCAAATGGAGTCAGCTCTGACCTTTATATTCACCGACCTGCTCCTATCGTGTGGCGTAGAGAAGAAAACGAGCCAGAAGCAACGGCAGGAAACCATCAACATCATCCCAAAGACTGGCCACAACGTATCCATCCTGGACCGCCCAGAATTCCCTCGTGGCAACTTGCTGGTCCTGCACTACCAAAGTCTGTAGACATGGCTGATTTGTCCAAGCGAAGCCCCAAACACAGTGACAAGGAAAAGGGAGGTCGTCCTAAAATCGAACCAATTGAGCCTTTCAGACCAGGATCAGAAGCAAAGGTCCATCCAGTAGCCAATCTCCTCTACGGAGTACCGACAGAGAAGCGAGATGCACATGCCGTACCTCCACCAGAGTTTTTCAACGAATATCCATGGCCCTCTCGCCCCCCAGTCTCAGCTGCAGACAAAAAGGTTCCGGCTGTGGAAATTGAAAACTCGCCTGACTTGACAAGGCGCAGTCCCAAGCACGACAAAAGCAACGACATGAAGGAAAAGGGAAAGATCGAGAACAACGACCTCAGCGATATCATCCTGACCCCAGAAGAGGGCGCAGTCAGACTGGGAGGAACACAAGCGACAACGCATCTGCACGCCCACATTGTCGCCGGAAAGCCCGAAGACGAGGAGATTGAATACTCGAAACGAGCTGCGAATCCCGTGCCTCCACCAGAATACTTTGACGAGAAACATACGCAGTGGACCCAAGAATTGCAAACGTCGGGCCACAAACCAGCCATGAATCCATCTTCATCTACCTCCTCTGATGAAGATGAGGATGATGAGAAATGGACCATCTACTCCACCCCCGAAATCATCGACTTGCCCCATTCTCCCACCCCTAAAATCCTTCCTCGCCGCTCAACCCAGAGCACCAAACCCAAGCACAAACCCACGATTGATGAAATCGCAAATCAAGACGACATCTTCTGGCCCAATCCCAAAGAACTCCATGCATTCGGTGGTCCGGCCATCGTTCACGCCACTACATCCGACATCCACCGCCGCGACTCCTCCTCCTCCTCTTCTGACGCCTCGTTTAGCGAGAAAGCAGAGCAGCTAGGCAAGTTGACGCCAGAGGAGATTTGGAAATCGGGAAAAGAGCCGTGGTACACGCCGGCGATTGTGCATGCGGATGCTAAGACTGTGTATCGTCGTGATGGAGGAGGAGGAAAGATGATGAGAGCAAGACAGTGGGATACCACGATTCCTGGAGTGCCAAAGGCGCATGCGTTTGCGAGTGGGATTCATCGGCGGTAGATGGATGGACGAGGGGTGTGATGTGGAGGTATGAAGCATCTGGATGTTTGGAGATGTACTCTTTTCTTGTTTTTTTTTTTGACTTGTCGACTTGCGTTTTTTTTTGGTTTATTTTCACATTTCCTGCTTCTTTTTTCAGTACTGGATAGATTGACTTGATATTCTCAATTTCATCATTGCTACTTTGCTAAATTTGAACCCTGATTATCTAGTCTGCAGATCCCGAACCGTGCCATGTCCACCCCACCAGGCATTTCCGATGAGTAATGAGGAGGATGAGTAATGGAATCCTCGTTTCTCGCGCTTGGAACAACATAGGGGTGTTTGAAATGTCCATTCCTACTCCACTCAATCCCTCAATCCCTCAATCCACTCAATCCACTCCTCACTTGATACACTCGCATTCGCAAAACATGATATCGAACATATGAAAGCACCAGTACAACTCAGTCACACAGAGATGTATTTTATACCCCCAGGTATTACAACCCCTCTTTAAAAATACTCCTTCGACTCTCCGTCGGACTATTATCATCACCCTTTCGATGATCCTTTGCGCTGGGCATCGTCGCCGTCGCAGCACCATGATATCCCGTATCAGCATCCATGACGGGCCGAGGGCTGACGCCACGTAGATTGGTCGCATTGTCGTCGCCAAAAGGATTCTGCGCGCTATGCGAATCTAGATGCTCGTCGTAGGCGTCGCGAGTACGGCTGCGTCCGCGAGTAGGCTCGGCAAAAGGGTTGGATTGGTGGGTAGCGGGGGGTTCGTGGAGGCCGAGTTCCTGTTCCTCGTAGTATGCTTCGTCGCCGACGCGCGCGCTCCAGGCTTCGTCGGGATCCAGACGGCTGCCGGCGCCGCGACCACCGCCGACGCCGCGAGCGGTGGCATTGTAGCCCGAGTCTTCGTAGCCGCTGCCGGTGGTGTAGCGGTTGTTGCGGTTCTTGAACTTGCGCATTTGGGTGTCGAACCAGCCCTTGATGCCCGTCGGGGCAGGGCCGGGATAGTTTGACTCGGCGTTGGTCGACGAGGAGCGGCTAAAGGCAACCATGGGGTTCATCGAGGGCGGGGGCAGGCCATTGCGCGAGGCGTTCCAGCGCGCGTAAAAGTACCAGCCAAAGTAGGAGATGGAGAGGAGCAGCAAAAGCACAATGATAAAGACTAGCCAGCCGTTCATGATGGCGGTAGGGGGCGGTCAGAGGGTGAGTAGTCAGCGTGGCATGCGGGAGTTGGGCGAGGCGATGGCTGTGCTCGGAGGGCGTGGGCTGGGTTTGGTTTTCCCGTGTGCGCCCAACTGGGAGGGGGCTCGTAAAGGGAGCACAGGGCGGCGGCGGCGGCGATTCTCCGCTGAATCTAGAGCATGCAGTGACCTGGACGGGCGTCGCAATGGTGGAATGGGAGGTTTAGAGCTGACAGGCGCGGCTGCAGTGTCTGCCCGCCCTCTGCCTATAGCCTGGTTGCTTCCGGCGTCCGTTGCCAAGTGATGACGTAACCCGAGCTGACGCTGAATGTCAGCATACCGCGTCCACGCCGTCTGCATTTTGTTACGGGAACTGCCACGGCCTTGTCATAGCAGAGATTGACGTCTTTGCTCAGCCACCGTTGCGTCGTCGTCGTCGCCGTCGTCGCTGTCCTCGCCGTCGTGTGGCCGTCTATCCAGGACATGTAGACTAGCGCGTGTAGTCAATGGCCTTACAACCATATGCGTAGGTATTATGAGATTGATGGATTTGGACTGATGAATTAATAGACTGCTAGATGATGAGATGCTAGGCTATCGCAGTGGAGATCCGTGGTATCGCAGTTGTCCGTGGTATCGCTTACACTGATTCCTGCAGCTTACCATGCAAGCCCCTCATGATATCACCCCTCAACACCATGGCCTCACAGCGCACAATCGTCCGTGACCTGCACGCGACCGACGGCTCTCAAGTCAGCATCACCCTGCAACTCGACGACGATGCCGCCAAACCACCCCAACTCATCAACATCTCCAAGCCAGCCTCCGCCCCAGCATCGCAGCGCGAAACCCACGTCGTCATCTCAGTAGGATCAGGCGCCCGCCAGGCAGACTCCTTCTTTCAAAACGTCGTCAAACCCATCCTCGTTGCCCTCCATGGCGAAACCAAAGGCTTGACAATCCACACCACCACCTCGGCAACCAGCATCTCCGAATACACCAGCACCATCTTCTTCCCCGCCGCAAACAACGGTACACCCCTGCGCATCATCCTGCTCTCTGGCGACGGCGGCATCGTCGATCTCGTCAATGGGCTCGTGTCGCACGCCCAAAGCAACGCATACATTGCCCCGCAAGTCGTGTTGATGCCCCTCGGAACCGCAAATGCCCTGTACCACTCCGTCAACGCCGGCAAGCCGCCCACGTGGGGCATCGATGGCCTCGCGTGCACCACGTCCAAGCCTCTCCCCCTCTTCACAGCCACATTTTCGCCAGGCGCGCGCCTGCTCGTCGACGAAGCCCGCGCCGAAGAAGCTTTGCCGCGCGACCAAAACGGCAACGCGGTGCTGCATGGCGCTGTCGTGGCGAGCTGGGGCATGCACGCATCGCTCGTCGGCGACAGCGACACGGCGCATTACCGCCAGTTTGGCGTCGAGCGCTTTCAAATGGCTGCAAAAGAAGCCTTGTATCCTGCCGACGGCGCTGCGCCACACGCATACAAGGCGAGCGTTGGGCTGCTGCAAAACGGCCAATGGACACGGCTCCCCAGCAACGAGCACATGTACGTCCTGGCCACGCTCGTGTCCAACCTCGAACAACCCTTTTGCATCTCGCCAGACAGCAAGCCGCTCGATGGCAGTATGCATCTGGTCCACTTCGGCCCGACGAGTGGAGACAATGTCATGCGCATCATGGGCCTAGCGTACCAGGGGGGCGCCCATGTGCACGACAAGGACGTCCGGTACGAGGATATTGATGGGCTCAGGATACAATTTCAGGCCTTGGAGCAAGACGCCCGGTGGCGGCGCATCTGCATCGACGGCAAGATTGTCAGGGTCGAAGCAGATGGATGGGTAGAGGTTACAAAGGACTACAGACACGTCCTAAATGTTGTTGCTTAACCTAAAAAATACATTACGTGCCGCTCTAGGGATATCTGAAACAACTTGTTGTAGCTCGAGTCCATGATCAACGCCAACATGGCACCTCAGTAGCCTGGGTACTGCGTCCTCGCAAAGTCCTGCGGGTTGTAAGAGTAGTGCGGCTGTCCCTTTTGCCTGATGCTGTGCTCTTCCTTCGTCTCCTTCATCGTTGGCAGCTCCGACGCAAATGCCTTTCCATCGAGCGGCGGCGACCGCATGCCATCCGACGGGGCATAAGACGTCGGGCGCGTTGACACTGTGCTCTGTGATGCTGTTGACCAGCGCGCGTCATGCATCCGAGGAGACGGCTGCGACACATCGGAAACATACGAGGCACGATTGTCGGTTGTGTGGGATGGCGACGGCTGTGGGTGGTAAAAGTCGCCTGGCAACTCCATGACGACGTTGTTCTGGCCGAGAAGCTCCTTTGGCGGAACTGGAGGCGCGTACTGCTGGTCTGGCTGCGCGTAGCTTAGACTCTGCCGGTGTGGAAAAGATGGCGACTGGCGGGGCGACACTGGCATGCTGTATGGCTGGCTCGGGGACGGGTGTGGCGATCTGCGGTCCACGGCAGAGCGGTCCGCTGGGTTGACCGTCTTGAGTCGTCCATTCTCCATCATGGCCTGGAGCGCGCCCGTGTCGAGCAGTTCGGCCTTCTTGACCAGGCGGTCGACCATGACCTTGGCTGCGGCCTGCATCTCCTTCTTGACAAAGCTAATCATGGCGACATTGCACTTGATCTCGACGTCCTCGCGAATGTACAGGCCCTCTGGCGGCGCAGAAGAGCCCAGCTCCTTTGGCTCCGGTGGTTCGCCTGGCTGGTTTCCGCAAATCTGCCACTTATTCCGGAGGTCTACATTGGCAGGGGCGTAGGTGTGAGTCTGCAGGCCAAAGGGAAGGTCGTGAAAAACGCCGCGAAACTTGATGGCGCCGCTGCCCATCTTGCCAATGCCGGGAATGTACTGGATGCGCTGTGAGATTTCGTACCATGTCGAGTAAAACTCGTCGGCAGGAGCGTCGCGTGGTGCCTTGATGGGTTCATGGCCGGTGACGAGCGGGTTCAACTCGATAATCTCGCCGTGGCTATGGAGAAAGTCGATTGCAAGCTGCCGGGGAATAAAAGAGGGTATGGGCGTAATGTGCACATACGAAGTCTTCTTGCGCATCATGTTGGCGGTGATGGGAGTGTCTGGGCACTGAGGTTATGTGAAGAGTGTTTCTACAGAGCGTCTGGACGAGGGGTGGGCGCCGGACGAGGGGCCTAAGTGGGATCAATCAGCCTCTTGCTGACGGTATCCTTGCTGGTGTAAGTAGCGGGTGTTAGCCTAATAGTAATCGCAGCCCAAGATCAACAGGCGAAACACGTCATGCACGTGGTAGCCGTGATGTCAGAAAGACCCTGATGCACGTATTCTCTCCTCCAAGACAAGCAGCAAGTGCCATAGCCCACAATACCGGGTTCTCCTGCTCGAAACACAATGTGCAGGCTGTTAGGCGACGGTGTTAAGCAATGTGCCGCGGCGGAGCAGTCTAATTCTGGTCCGGCATCTCTCAGCTCCTGCAAGCGCAAGTGGGGGCCAAATGCTCAAGGGCTGAACTCATCAGCAGCTCCATTCCACGAATAGCGCCCGCCCGTCTTGTCAGATGGCGTCGCCCAACAGCTGCTGAAAAGCCAAGAGCGGTGTGGTCGTTTCGTTGGTAATTTCTTAGGTTTCGGGGGGATCGAGTTCCGGATGGTAGCCTGCCGTGGCCAAGCCCAAGCTGCAAGTTATGCCTGGGAGCCGAGAATGTGGAGTGTGGGGCGGAGTCAAAGGACGATCGTTTTCTCGCCCTGTGTGATTGGTTAGAATTGTACCATATCTCCAACGAGCCGGATGGGATACAGCATACAGTGGCTTGGACTGTTTCGAGGCAGGCTCATGAGACAGCGACCCGGCGCCGGTCATGACAAGTGTTTTGCATTAAGAAAATGCCGGAAACGTACAGCGGGTTGATAATTGAAGGGGTGCAGAACCGAATGCAGTGTTGATTGCGCTCAAACTCGCATCCGCAATTTTTAGTGATGGAGTTTGGAGTAAAGCCGGTGAAGGGGAGTAGAAAGTCGCAATGTCGCTCCTGCCTCCAATGTGGATGACGTACTCAAGTCACGTGCAATTCCAAGCGGGAAGCAGCTCGTGGGTCCACGCCAAGCATCAACATCAACGACTACGATAGCATCAGCTTCTTGTCGCCGGTGAATAGCGCGATGCTGAGCTTCAGGAAGCGAGCCTACTAACATTGATAAACTTACCAATCGTCAAACCGGCTAGTACGCTTCGCATCCATACCTTGCCAGACTTGTACATTCTGAGAATTCGAGGCAAAGGAAAAGTCAGAAACTGCCCATGGATGGCGCTGATGAGGCTCCGATGACCAAGAGGTGCTGATGGGTCAAGATCGAGATCGTAAGCACGGCATCAGACTGTGCGCATCATAGGTTCCAGGTAGGTCAGCAATCCGAACCAATCCGGTCGAGTCATCTTATTGGCAAATAAACCGATAATCATTTCAGATGCACACTACGAGCCGTCCCGTCAGTCAATCAGTACATCAGTGTTCGAGACTTTCAACATGGACTCGGTACACATCACTTACGCGCGACCAATAGGTCAGCTCACCGACCTTCAGCTTATGTCTTGGCTCGGCGCATCATACAGCCTATCACTCAACTACAATATGGAATCAAGAGTATGCTTGATTTCAAAAGTCGCTGGTTCGTCCATACGGTGATAGGTCTCCAGTACCATGGTCCCTCACTATAGGCGAATTGATATTTAAATCTCGCTGTGCCAGTCTTACCCTGCTTCATCACCTCAATCCGCCAACTTCGACTTTACCAAGACAACCACGACACAGCCAAAATGCGCTTCACCATTCTATCCGCCATCTTCGTCACCTTGGCCACTGCCACTCCGCTCGGCATCTCAGTGCCTCTGGACGTACGTTTATTACTCTCTAGCGATTCGCTTCGATGGCTCTCCAAGCCAACAGTGCATTGGATGATGATTGGTGGAGCGGCAATCCACCGAGGCAAACTATGCAAGTACAGTCGCTAACAAGATGTGCAGACCCGGGATGCATCTTCAATGTGCTCTCCAAACTTTTGTCCGTGCGTGGAAAGGGAGCTATCCACGCAGTATCCCACAGCCTACCAATATTGCTTCATCCAAAACTGTCGGCATATGCCTTGGATTACGGGCCTCAACAAGCCAAAGAAGCAGTACGAGAAAGACTGCCTGAAAGTCGACGGGGCTCCCAAACATGATGTAGACGGATAAAGTCGGGCTGAACGTGTGGTAGCATAATATAAGAAATTAGAGGCGCTATCGGACTTTTACACAACATTAGTGCTTACCCCTGACTAAATTGATCCACCAATCTAGATAGATCTAGCCAAGTCCATTTGACAACAATAGTAAAATAGCTCCACTGATGCACTAGCACATTGCAAGAATCGTGCCATTCGTGATCAGGGACTCCTATTACGTATTCAAAGCCGCTACATCTTTATACGGCACGCCGTCTTTTTGACACGACCTGCCATCTAGCGGAAAACTGCGTCCGGCAATACAAGGACAAATATCGATAATATCGATGATCTGTATCACCAACTATTTCAATCGCCAGCTCGATGCCAACCTATTAACAGCTTTGATAGCTAAACGGCGAACGATATAGCACAAAAGAACAACAGTCTCTCATCGTCACCCTTCATCGTACACCAGCTCATTTATCTGCTTACTGGTAGAAAATGCCGCACAATCTTGAACGCGACAATACGGACACGGTCACTGACCCGCTACTTGTGATGCCAACATGACTATTCGAACCAAAAGACATTTCCAAATGTCCTAGTGTTTCTACACTCTAGACATGTCAATTTATCCTCCATCGTCGCGCGTACGAAGAAGAAAAACCAACAGCAGTGTGCCAAGGTGCGAGTATGAACATGAAACAAAAGCACAAGCACACCCCGGCATCACACCGTATACACACTAGATGCCTAACTAGTTCTGCCTTGATTCTCAATTCCGACATTTCCCATCTAGGAAAAGTGTCCATTGTTATAGGATGGTTGTTTCTAATTTGAGCCTTGCTCCGTATAAGTGTGGATAGCCATCACGTATTGGAAAAGGAGATTGAATTTCACTAGTAGCAGCAAAGCTACATATAAATACTGGTCTACTTCACTTCTGCTGCTGAACATCACACAGTTGTTCCTGATACTTTACAAAAGCCCTTTTCGACTACCGTCGTTAACAGCCAAAATGCGTTTTTCACTCGTCATCTCTCTTGGTCTCGCCAGCCTGGCAGTCGCAGAACCGGCCCCGGCAGAAGCAGCACCAAACCCATATGCTGTGAGTACTCTGCTCTGCACATAGACGATCAAGTCTAACATGATATAGGATTCCCAATACTATGGCTGTGGGCCTGATTTTTGCGCCTGTCGTGCGGCATGCTATCAACCTCGTAAAGGCCTAGCTTGGTCGAGATATTGCCTTGGAAACTGCCAGTTCCAGTGTGCGCATACGTTCAAAAAGGGAGAGTGGAAGGGATGTTAGACGCAGACTCGGACACTGCATGCATTACCAAAGCATTGTTGTTTCAAAGTTATTTTTGATACGGAAAAAACCCATTCACGGCGTCTCCCGGACTAGGTCTTAGTCAGAAGTTTATTTAGCGTTATCTTGCCTCGGCACAATCTTGTTTTCCGGCCCTGCCGCACATCTCGTAATGAAGTAATATTTTAGCGTAGAAAAGACGATCTAGTAATTGAGACCGCGTAACACGCTATTGCAATAAGGATAGCCAAACTCGTATTTATGGAACAATCCTCCGCTCCAGTGGATTCCGCGTTGAGCTGTCTTTGTCTTCGAGGGTGGATACTAAAGTGCATTTTGGCTTGATAGCGTAAGTGGAAAGATGGAGTCCAGTGCCATAGACGTCTTCAGTATTACATCTACTCGAGAAATGCTCTACCAGTGACGTGACAAGGCAGTATTCCAACCTAATATTACCACTAGACATCTGTATACAGCTAGATAGTCTCTAAATAAAGTCCACGCCATACTCTACACAAGCACTACAATCTGAATCAACCTGCTTTACATCCTACACTGCATTTCACGACCCTTAAAATCCCTATTTCTCCATCCACTCATACTTGCAGAAAACCCCTACATCTAAAGCACATACATCTAGAGCACATCCAGAAAGCATGACACACAACCACGCCACGACCAAAAAAAACATACCCGAGCGACAAATTAAAAAAAAAACCGCGGCTAACAATTCCTTAAGAAGCTAAAAAAAAAAAAGTCCCGCATCCGCCTCGCCCGTTCGGCCGCAGATCCACATCAGTACCTCCGATTGATTATTATTATTATTATTCTTTTTTCTATTCCATTCCAGACGGAAAACCCGGCATACGTACTGTAGGTGGTCAGTGCTTGCAACTGTTCAGCGGATGCAACACCCCACCAAAATTGGTGCTCCACCAAAGATGAGGCTATAGAGCCCCATACAAAAGCTATTATCACGAGATTTTCTGGTGGAGTATTGAGCAAGTAGTAATATATATTTCCGTCTATATATATTTCGCTGGTAACTTTATATTGCGGCCGCGGGTGGTGGTTTTGGTGGAGGGCTTGGCGGGCGGCGGTGCAACTCCATCACCACTCTCGCAGCCCACCACACGACGACGTTTTGCTGTTTTTGTATTCTGCGACGATGAAGCTTCTCGTTTAGGTGTACTTTGCTTATCGCGAGATTTTTTTGTTGTTGCAGCAAGCCGATCTTGTTCTTTTTGGGCGCGCGCGGCAGCAAGTTGTGCAGCCTTAGCCTCCCGTTCCTTCTCGCGGGCAACTTTTGCAATTTCCTGCGCCTGTTTTGCCTCTGTAGCTATTTGTTTCTTATACTAGGCAGCGGCTTCTCGCATCTCTTTTCTCTCTTTTTTTTGGAGTTTTTCTGCCTCTTCTTCTTGGTGTTGTACAGCCTGACGCGCTCGAGCTTCCCGTACCGCCCGAGGGCTCCACACCACCGCCAGACTCTGGTACTCTTGGTGTTGTTGAAGGTCGAGAACTCTATTATGCTTCGGCCTCTGTTTTTTGGTGGCGATTTCACCGCGAAGTTCGTCGATCTCAACGTGGAGAAGCTCGTTGTTGACCTGCAGAGAATGTAGAGCCTGGCGGAGCTCTTTGGCTGCAGCCGTCGACCTATCCGGTACCGCAACGTCAAATAATCTTGACAGCGTACGCCAGCTATCTCCATCTCCCAGCTCTCTACTTTTCAAGTTGTTATCTCGTTGTGATGTGGTGGTTTTGAACCGTTTGAGTACGACTTCGGGATCGCGGGGATGGAGCCTGGTGGCTGCAAAACTGCTCAAAATATTATCGGTAGTGAAGGTAGATGTATACGCCACCCAAAATAGGCGGAGAAAATCACTTTTCTGCATTTGGAGCAATGCTTGGCTGCGGCGTATGAACTCTGATAGCTCTTTAGAGTACGCCGCCGACAGCGGCCCGTACAACACCACGTCGAGAGGCTGTAGAGTATGGGTGGCGTGGGGTGGAAATATTGAAAGTATTATTCGATGGGAGTAACAATATTTGATAAATTCGGGTGAGACGTAGCTACCGTGGCCGTCGAGGATGAGCATCTAGTAATCGCGTTTAGCTTTCGCCTTCGTTTGACGATCAAAAACCTATTTGAGCTAAGCCAAGCCTAGGTCGTTATTACTCCATCCAGATGGACTTGTAGAGAAAAAAACGTGGTGTTTTCCAACCTCTAGGTCGCGTACCCAGCTATCGCGAAGTCCAACCTTGCCTTCATAGATAACGCAAGGATCTACAGCGCTTCCATCAGCACAAACACATGCTAAAACTGTTATCCACTCTCTATTACCATCTTAGATGGCGGCGGTGATTATTTTTTGGTCCCAAAGTTGTTTAAAAAACACCCGTTTTGACCTTGTGGTGGACCCAAGTAGGGAGCCCTTCTCGTCCATATTGTAGATGTTATGCGGCGCAACGTCGTAGTCATCGAGTTTCCCGAAGATAAGATCGAAATATGATCGATAACTATCATGACTATCAGCTTCGTGACGATTGCGGTCCATCCCGGTGGTGTATTTGATGGTAAGGTCGGTGGTGTTGCGGTCCAGAAAGCGTGTGACCTAGCTATCTGACGGCTCCCATTCCGCAATATTCGACACAAAATTTTTTATCATGGACCTGGTAGGTGCAAGCCCACGACTAGAAAGCTTCTGTATATACTTTAAAAGCTTAGCTTTATGTTGTGTAGTGAGTAATTTCGTGTTTTCTACGGCGGCTGCACAGGACTGGGTTTGTTTGTAGTAGCGGCGCGTTAACGTTGACAACACAACACCAAACTTTTTCGCAGCTGCTCTATACGAAAGTCGTTCTTTGGGATCTTGCGCATCGACTGCTGCAAGCGCTTTCTCGATTGGAGTTATGGTGGTGGAGTTATCACGCGTTGAAGTGGGTGGGTCTGTTTTGGGAAGGTGCAGATGGTGTTGCATCCGCTGAACAGTTGCACGCACTGACCACCTACAGTATCGCCTACTTTTCCGCACATGCAAGCCAACAAGATAATTTACACCAGACGAGAAAAAGTAAGAATATACAAGACACGTCATACACTACAGTACGCACGCGCACTTTGTACATGAGATGGAAGCAAAACGAGCATCTTACATACATATGTAGCTAGAACCAAGTAAGTAAGTAAGTACGTAAGTCGTAATAACGACACTACACTACGCTACGCTACGCTAACCGACCTAAATTGCCAGTTCACTTTAAACACGCCTACTTGTGTGTGCCCGTTTTTTTTATTTTTCCTTTTTTTTCCGATATCCAGCTTGAGAATATTCCGAGGGACCGGGACCCTAATGTATGTATGTAATCGTACATATGTAGCATGCACACGCCACCCTCCTACATAACTAGCTGTTGCTTATGTCAGGCCATAGATAGACTACATGCATGTGTACTAGTAAGTAGCACATCCATGACGTGACTGTCACGTGTAGCATATAAATGCCCTGTGCGCATGCTGATAAGACATCTAAAAAAAAGTGGGTGAGTCGGGCCGGGGAGTTGTAGTGTGGTATGGTGTGTGTGTGTGTGTGTACTATAAGTACCAGCGGATTGAACTTAAGCCATACCCCATACCTACTTATAGCTACAACCGATTCGCATACAAACAACAACAAAAAAGAAAACTAACGACTCAATACAACAAAAACAACCGACATGCGCTTCCAAATCCTCGTTTCCCTCGCCCTTGCGAGTATGGCTGTTGCGGCGCCGGCTCACCAGGCTGAAAGAAATGGGTTAATGGTATGTAAGCAGCGCTTTTCTCCTTTCCTCCCTCGCTCCGTTCTACCTCTCCATCCATGCGTACAAGACAAAAAGCTAACGGCTCCCCCCCCCCTCCCGCCAGCCCCGATCCTCACAGTATTGCAGCGGGGACTATAGCAGCTGCTGCGCAGCATGCGGAGACGCCGACTGTCTTGACGTGTGCTGGGACCTGTACTGCCCGCATGCCTGAGTGTTTATGGCTGGTTTTTTCTGTTCCTCTTTCACCATCATCATCCTGCTCCTCATTCTTCGTCGTCATCGTCGTCGTCGTCATCATGCCGGACAGTCCCGTACAAACAGAAAGGAAGAACAAAAAGATATTGTAGTGGAAAAGAGAGAGAGAGAGAGAGAGAGAGAGAGAGAGAGAGAGAGAGAGAGAGAGAGAGAGA